GGAAGCCTTGATGCGTTCCACGATGCCCCATGGGATGCATGAAAAACAAACAAGTTTTTAGCTCGACTGCCCCAACATATTTTTCTTTCTGTTTCTCTCCTTGTGATCACATCTGACACTTTCTTAGGTACCATATGCACCCTGACAGGTGTTCTTAGGTACTGTGTGTACCCTGACAGGCAGGCGGATAGTCTATGAATGGAATTGGCAGAATTGTTTAATGGAGACCACCTGAACAATTGCATTCCTGCTCCTGGGTATTTGTGGATGGTATGTCAGAGCATGGGGCTCAAACCTATTAAACCTCTTGGAGTTTCAATTCAAGACTTGGATGTCTAGGTGACAACAGACCTGCAGAAATGCACGCTATCTGCAGAGAAAAGTAATTTCCAATCCAGGCAGTGTGACAAATGCCTGTAATCCCAGTCCCAGAAGACAGCCAGGCTGAGCCTTGCCTGGGCTCCTCAGTGAGTCCTGGTCTCAAAAGACAGAACAGGAGAAAACCACCAGCTATATCCATGGTTCTGGCCATTCTGGGTGAACCACTCCCTTCCCAACATTCCCCCCTCTACTTTCTTTTAAAATTTTTGTTTACAATCACATGTGTGTGGGGGGGCACGGCACACATGGATGGAGGCGCCCAAAGAAGCAAGAGGGAGGTGTCTGCTGCCGTGGAGCTGGAGTTGCAGTCACCGTGAGCTGGTGACTGAACTTGGGTCCCCAGGAGCAGTAAACACTCTTGATCAGTGAGCACAACGTCTCTAGCCTGCCCTCTCCTCCACGAGACACACACTCCTCAGTCTGCCATAGCATTTTTGTACCTCAGTCTTCCCGGCCATCACAGGCACGCTTCCCACACTCTTGGGCTTCAGCATGGTAGCCAGGTTCTAAAGACGAATGAGAGGCTCCAGTCCCACCCCGGGAACCCTGGTGAAGTTTTGGGGAGCCCCATAGTGGGGAAGGTCCCAGCAGCCCCCACAGGCTAACCCTGCCACGGATGCTACTGCTCTTTCTAGAGCCGATTGATACCCACGCCTCAGATCTTTTCCGGGCAGATGGAACCGAGATGGGTAGAAGAGTCCAGACCCAAAGATCCAGGAGTAACATGCTGTTTTTGAATGCGGGAGACCGAATGACTCTCACCACCCCAATATCCCATGGCCCGGGCCCCCAAGCACAGCTCGCTGAATCCCTATTAGGTTTATTCTCCTCTTCTATCCGTCCCTGGCTTCAAGATGAAGCCCCAACTCCTGGGCATGTTGTAATCCAACTCCTCTCTTTCCTCCTCATTCATCTCACGTCGCCCAGGCATCTCCACAAACCTAGCCACCCACAGCTCTTCACGGGGGCCCAGATCTGTGCTCACACTTGCCTTTACCCAGTAAGAGCCCATCCTCTCCTCTCACACCCACCATCGCTGCCAGCTCGGCTCTTGGGTCACTCCTGCCTCGACTACACAGACCAGGAGAGCAGGGCCCACTTCCCATTCATCCCTGCAGTTGGACCTGCTCCAACAAGAAACGAGTGTGTGTTGCACCCCAGGCAGTAACGAATCACAGGTTAGTCAATAGCCATGAACGCTTCCTCTGCCTCAAGTACTAAACTGCTTGGAGCCCGTTCCCACCACTGTCTTCCTGCTGTGCCTCCCTCACAAGCCTGGCTCACAAGACTCTGTGGTTTGGTGTCACGTCCGCTCACCTGGCTACGCATGGCTGTTTCCCTGACCTGTGGGACACCAGGGGCTTTAAGAACACCACAAAGGCTTTTTTCGCGGAAGATTCTGGGTGTGGGAAGAGACCACAGGTCCTGCAGGAAAACACCTCATTCCTAAGGATGGTCACAGAGGTCTAAGGACACCGAGCTGAGGTTTGGAAACCTCAGCCCAGGTGCCAGGGCTTACGTCTCTGTCCCTAAGGAGATGGAATTCGAAGAAAGGCCAGATTCGCCCTGAAAGTGCTAGGGTTTCAGGATGAGAGGTGAACCTACCCTGCTCTTCGTGGCCCAAGCAGACGGCATCATGGTCACTATCCTTCACCCCTCTCTATGTTCATGCCCTTTCCCATACATTTCGGAAATCCACTCGCTAAGGAGGCAGAAAATGTTTCCCAGCCCTTGACCTGAGTGTGGCCTTGTGACATGCTGTAGCAAACTGGCCCAGGTAAGAGTGTCCCAGTTCCGAGCCCAGGCCTAAAGAGCCATCGCTTCCTGGTGCTGGCCCTCAAACAAGTTTGACATTCTCTAGCCCACCGGTGCCAGAGTGACAGGGAGAGAACAGAGCTAAGCTGGGACAGCCAGGCCTAGACTCTACACCTTATCAAACTCAGAGGCACGAATGCATCTGCCAAGGCACAGCTGAATGTCAGCGACTGTCAGGTGACCCGAGAGTGTCCCCAGGAGGAAATGTAACAAGCGACCTTCATGGCATGCGTGTATCCATAAGAGGAACGATTGCCACTTTGTTTCATTGATCTCTCTCTCTCCCTGCCCCCCCCCCACAGGGGTGGGGAGGTGGGCCGAGAAATACCACGCTCTGAGTCCATTCAGGGTTGCTTCTATGCGTATGTGTTTAGTGCTAACCATTTAGGACTACATAACCTATTGGGGGTTCGTACCTGGAGAACACTGAACCCCTCTCTCCTGGCAGTCACTGACCAGCCACAGCTCTTCCTCCTGGGGCGGGGCCTTGTTCCATTGCTTCCATCCACACTGGCAAGTGGACTGGTGATGTCACTGTGCAGGGCTTGCTTAGACGCCCCCATTGGTAAGATGTCACAGGCGCCACCATCACACCTTGGGGTTTTCTTGCCGTGCTTCAACAACACTCTGGAAAGGCCAGTAGTGGCGGCGACTCTCACCAAAAGTGCTTTTCAGCCATGGCCCCTGAGTTTTCCATCTTGTTACACAGAAGGCACAATTCACAAGCGGCTAGTAAGGACGCCAGGACTTTCCTAGCAATGCTTAACCACGGATCAAGTGGATATTTTCCTACCGCATGAAGTCTTCTAGGATCCAAAATAAACCCAAGCATTTACAGTCTAGCTCCACATAAAAAGAAACTCCTGTATTTTCCCTAAAACACTTTTTTGGAAGACATACGTAAAATTAAACTGAATGAGCTGATAATTCATGAACCGTCTTTAAAACCAATGTCTCTAACCACCCAGGAGGCTCTTCTCGCTGTTAAACAGCCCCATTATCCACTCTCTGAGTCTAAAGCAATTTCCTAAGCTTAGGAAAAAGCATGTGCTACTCAAAACTAATCTCCTTCCAGAGTCAAACCAGAAGCAATTAGCATCTATGGGAGAAGTGTTTGCGTGTGCACTTGGGTGAGGAGGGGGTGCTGGACAGGATGCCAGCTCCCCTGGTATGCTCCAACTAAAGAAATGGAGCCACTGATTTTCCTTTGATGAATAAAATATTATTAAACGCTATAAATAAAAGTGTGGGGAGTGCTGGGCGGTGGTGGCACACACCTTTAATCCCAGCACTCAGGAGGCAGAGGCAGGCAGATCTCTGTGAGTCTGAGGCCAGACTGAGCTCCAGGGCAGGCTCCAAAGCTACACAGAGGAACCCTGTGTCAAAAAAAAAAAAAAAAAACCAAAACCAAAACCAAAAACAAAACAAAACAAAACAAAAAACAAAGTGTGGGGACCAAGCTTCTGGTTCAATGGACGGAGTGCTTGCCATGTAGGTACACGGACCGTCAGTTCACTCCCAGAAGCCATATGAAAAGCCAGGCTTGGTGGTGCACCGGTGATTCTAACACTTGGAGGTGGAGACTGGTGACCACAGGGCTTCACCTGGCTAACCGGTCTAGACTAGTCAGTTGGTTGCTCAAGGTTTCCAGGGTCACAGGGCCAGTGAGAGAAACCTGTCCCAGAAAACACACGAGCCGAACCCTGAAAATGGCACATGTGATGCTGACCTGTGGATCCACACTCACACACACACACACACACACACACACACACACACACACACACGTGCACACACACGTGCACACACACACACACACACGTGAGTGCACAGTGCTCTGCACCCCCCCACACACACACAAAAGTGACAATGGCACAGCATTGGAGCCAGGCCTGAGGGCACACATTTGTAATTCCAGCACTCTAGAGGTTGAGGCGAGTGTCCAGCCTGGGCTATGAAAGACCTTATGTAAAACAAACAAACCCAAGGACAAAAACGAAAGTTCCCAGCGGTATGTGTCATCACTGGTTCCCACTTCACTCTCCACATGTAAGGGCAAGTACAACAGGACACATCTTCCAGGACCTATTAACACTGATGGTTGCTTTGAGAATCGGTTACACATCTTGCAGAGGGGATTCCTGGCCCCGGAGATAATATAATCTTTCAGAAGGTACATTACAAAAGGAAACCATTGTCTGGCATGTAGCTGACTCAGGACAAGCACTGTCATTCTGAAAGGAGGCTGAAAGGTTGGCAAAGGGGAAACAGAAGGCTTTGGTGTGTTCATCCCTAGCCTTGGGGGATTTGCAGACCATGGAAGGAAGCCCTGAAATAACAAAGAGACTGCTCGCATTGGCTGGCTGGCTGCCCCTTTCCTTCACCCCATCCTGCTTCAGAAACTGTTCCGCCGCTAAAACAGACACTACTGTTAAATGTCAGGGGACAGGATGAAAGAAATCGTCACATAATACTACCTTAAGTCACATGAGACCAAGCCTGGAGGTCAAATGCTGGTGGTTTCCCATGGTGCAATGTAACCCAACGTAATAAATGTCAAGTCCCCTCTCAACATGCAAATAAACAGAGATTATAAGGAGCAGTCAATTGTGAGTTGGGGTGTAATTGCAAACTGAACCCCAGCTAATCCCTCTGGTAGTATGTGCTATTAAAATTGTATTTTTAGCATACATTCTGAAACCAACTCGCAAAATATCCAATACTGCTCATCCTTTTTTGTGTTGGGGAAATCTGAACTTGCAGGCTTCTTGGAACAGTGTCGTGAAGAAAGAACAGTGACATACCTAGAAAGCAGCAGTTTCCCCCGAAGCTGCAGGTCGGCCGCACAATCCTCAGACCGGCAATTCCTTTCAAAAACCGTCTGTGGGAGAGAAAAACAGGAAGGTTGGCACAGAATCTAAGCAAATGAACAACGGCCAAACCAGGTCTCTTCCCCTGAGCCCCCAGGCATTCTCCTCACAGCCCCAAGAAGCCAGCTCCCTGGCATGTGGAGGGGACTTTCTCAGGTTCCAGGGAAGCCCTGTCAATACCGGTCTGGAAGCCATGAGCACATCTCTTCCTTGTAATTCTCAGCTTACTGAGAGCTTCAAGCAGTTCCTTCTGGAAGCATGCAGGAGGCGCTGGGGAAATGGCTCAGTCAGTAAGAACACTTCCCGTGGTGGGTGCCAGTCTCAGGACCTCTTCTTGAATTCCCAACTCTCTCCTGAAAAGCCAGCCTTGGCCACGCACAGCAGGTGACTTTCAGCCCAAGCTGGTCTAGGAATATCTTTTCAGTGCTTTCAGGCATCAGTGGCCAACCATTGTGTAAAGCGCGTGCAGAAAATGGTTCAAGGGAAGACTTCCTTCCTCCCCAAGAGAGAACATGGAAGAAACGAGAAACCATTTTCTGCACGAGCAATGGGGCCATGTTGAATTATTAGTCCCAGAGGGAAATGTCGAAAGGCACCCAGGCCTTTGGGCTGAGGATGCAAGAGGACAGGGATATTTTGGCAGAAAATGTCACCTCTCTCACCAGGGCTGGACCTCAGAAGTCAAGTGCTGGGCCTGAAGTTCAGTGTGTCACAGCTGGCTTGAGTTCCACAGAGGCAGGATGCACCAGAGTGTTGGCCACGCAGTGGGGAGCAACACTGGCTGAGGTTGCTACCCCTTCCCCCCAAAGTATAGGAGGATAGAGACTCCGCCCCTCACTGTGGTCGCCATCTCTCGGATGCTCTGATCTTGGAGAGCACCCTCTCTTCTAGACAATGGAGCTCTTTCACAAGCCACGCTGCTCCATTTCAGGAGGGTTTGGAAGTTGCTCTACATCAGCTGTAATCTATCAAGATCCCGACTCCATCAGGGATACTGTTCAGCTGGTGAGGTTTTCTTCTTCCTCCTACCAAGCATAGCTCTGGGTGATTTGTTCCCTTCTTAGACTATCAGTCCACACAGCCTCTCAGGGTACCAAGTGTTGACTTCAGCAAGCCTTCTGGCTAACAAAGAGTCTAGACTCTACCAGACAGGGTACTTTTGCTCATGGAATTTCATAATCCCATGCCGCATTTCCAAAAAATGAAGTGTCCCAGGCAGCATTCCCTTCCTTGATTATCATGGCAGTCTTGGGTAAAAGAGCAACTTCCTGTGTTCTTTTGGACTCTACAGAAGCAAGGAAAAAGCCAAATTCCAAAGTGGCTTCAATCAAAGGTTTCTCTGATGTCCCATTGCCGCCAGGGAGGAAACTGGGGAAGAGGGTGTGGGGGCTGTGCAGGTGTCCCAGGTGAAACCTTTGTTGCTGGGTAATGACTTTCTTTGTGTCTAGATATGAACCGTGACTCAAAGTCTATTTTCCCTGATACATGCATGAGGTACTCCAGCTTTGTCCATAAACTCTTTCTATGCCCAGGTGCACCCTTGATTGAAAATGAGCCTTTTTTTAGTTGTTTTTTTTTTTTGAAAATGAGCTTTTGCACAGACAGTATGGGATGACCTATGGGAAGAGATGGGATCAAAGGTGTGACTCGGAAGAAATGGGAATGGGAAGATGCTGTGGGAGGTTACTTTAACTATGTAAAGGTGTGTTACATTTGTTTGTTTAACAATGTAAAGATTGCTGTTTTGTCTGCCTAAGGCACCTGATTGATCTAATAAAAAAGATGAACGACCAATAGCTAGGCAGCAGGGGGCTAGGTGAGGCTGGCAAGCAGAGAAAATAGTAGGAGGAGGAATCTAGGAGAGAGAGAGAGAGAGAGAGAGAGAGAGAGAGAGAGAGAGAGAGAGAGAGAGAGAGAGAGAGAGAGAGAGAGAGAGAGAGAGAGAGAGAGACACTTGGGGCCAGTCAGCCAGGTAGCCACCAGTCAAATATGGAGGAAACAAGAAAAGTGAGTCACACAGAATGAAAGAAAGGTAAAAAGCCCAGAAGCAAAGTGTAGATGAAGAGGAAAAAGGTTACATTAAGTTATAAGAGCTGGTGGGACACACCTAAAGTAAGGCAGAACATCCATAACTAATAATAAGCTCCCATGTCTTGATTTGGGAGCTGGTTGGTGGTTCAAGAAAGCCTGTTACAGGAGGAGGTGGGGATGGGAATGGGTGAGGATGGGAAGGGGTGAGGATGGGAAGGGGTGAGGATGGGAAGGGGTGGGGATGGGAAGGGGTGGGGATGAGAAGGGGTGAGGATGGGAAGGGGTGAGGATGGGAAGGGGTGAGGATGGGAAGGGGTGAGGATGGGAAGGGGTGAGGATGGGAAGGGGTGGGGATGAGAAGGGGTGAGGATGAGAAGGGGTGAGGATGGGAAGGGGTGGGGATGAGAAGGGGTGAGGATGAGAAGGGGTGAGGATGGGAAGGGGTGAGGATGGGAAGGGGTGAGGATGAGAAGGGGTGGGGATGGGAAGGGGTGACGATGGGAAGGGGTGAGGATGAGAAGGGTTGAGGATGGGAAGGGGTCGGGATGGGAAGGGGTGAGGATGAGAAGGGGTGGGGATGGGAAGGGGTGGGGATGGGAAGGGTTCGGGATGAGAAGGGGTGGGATGGGAAGGGGTGAGAACTGAGGAGAGAATCCATCCTGTGACAATCTTCAAGTTTTGAGTCCTGACCTTCTGACCTCTCTCCAGCCAGCTCTCCCCTGTCCTAACCCCCCCCCCCCCACCGGGCAGACCTCTCACATTTTACAGTGTAAACAAGTGTGCACCTGAGACTTCCTAACGATGGCGGGAGACAGCTGTAGACGTGAACCGGCTTTAGTGTAGACAAAGGCGGTTTTTTGTTTTTTTTTTTTTCAAGAATCTACACAGAATGTCTTCCCTCACACTCCTTATAATGGCACACAACAGTCTCGCCCACAGAGAAGCACAGAGCTCCTGACTGCTTCCCTGCCATCCAGCAGGGTCTGGGGCTATAGTGAAGGTCATACCATGTGACTCCCAAGCCAACTCCATAAAAAGCAACGGAGCTCTCTCCTTAGTTATTTGTCCTTGGAACTTAGCTACTCTGAGCCAAGGGAACCCAGCTTTCTGTAAAGAGGTTCCCATATGACCAAGCAGTCATGGGAGTGGGGCTCTCAGGGACCTCAGAGCCCCTGGTGGGAACCCAGCAGATGTGAACTCTATGCAGAGAGATGAGGTAGCTTGACCAGGGACTGCCGAGTGGAAGATTCATGAGCAGATTCATCATTAAACCCCGTTATTGGTTTTTAGTTTTATTCCATCGTGGTCAGAAAAGATATCTGGTATGATATCAAGCTTTGTTGAGATTCTTGATTTGGGATGATTTATGTTTTCACATGCATTCTATGCTGGAGAATGTTCCTTGTTCATTGGACAAGAGTGTGTGATCTTCTGCGGTTGGGTAGAAACGTTCCGTGCACATCTATGGGCCCTTCATCTCTTCTTTCTTTGTTGTTTGTGATGGTTTGGATGAGAATGTCTCCTGGGGGCCATCTGAATGTTTGTTTCCCAGTTGGTGGAGTGTTTGGGAAGGATTTGGAGGTGTGGCCTTGTTAGAGGAGGTGTGTCACTAAGGTTCTAAAGCCCACAACAGTTCCTGTCTCCATTCTGCCTAGTGCTTGAGGGTCAGATTTAAGCTCTCAGCTATTGCTCCAGTGCCATGTTTTCTGTCATGGTGATCACAGTTACCCTCTGACACCGTAAGCAAGTCTCCAGGTAAATACTTTCTTTTATAAGTTGCCTTGGTCATGTTGTCTTGTTACAGCAGCCAACAGTGACTGAGACAGAAGTTTTCTGTGTAGCGGCTCTACCCATTGTTGAAATTAAGGCACCAGAATTGAGTTTTTCACTACTGTCAAGGTCTCATTTCTGGTGTTAGGAGCTTATACATTGATAGCATTTCTATTACTTTTATTACTATGTGTGAGCTACTCTTTTTTCTTTTGGTTAATATTCAACATTCACTTTTTCTGCCCCTATGTACACTCCTTGACTTCTGGTCAGCCAGAAGTGCGTTTTTGGTAGACAGCTTGGCTTTCTGTGTACGTTTAACCTATTCCATCATTTTATGTCTTTTTATTTGCAGGAATTTTGTCTAGTTACATGTATGTGCATGTGGAGGCTATGTTCACCTTGAAGAGTTGGCTATACCGCCATGCTTATTACAGCACTGTTCACAACAGCAACAATATGGAAACAACCTATAGACAGGTAAATTAAAAATGAAATGGTGCAACATACAGATATTCCTCAACTAATAGGAGCCAAATTCCTGAGTGTTGTCTAGTGTAGCAATAGATTTAACAATCTATTAACAACCTAATAGTCTTTAAGTTGGTGTGGTGGTTTGAAAGAAAATGGCCCTCAAAGGGAGTGTCACTATTAGGAGGTGTGGCTTTGTTGGAGTAGGAGTGGTCTTGTTGGAGGAAGTGTGTCACTGTGGAGGTGGGCTTTGAGGTTTCATATATGCTCAAGCCAAGCCCAGTGAGATAGACCTCTTCCTGTTTGCCTGCAAGTCAAGATGCAGAACTCTTAGCTCCAGTACCGTGTCTACCTGTACGCTACCACGTTGCACCATGTTAATGGACTAAACCTCTGAACTGTAAGCCAGCCCCAATCAATGTTTTTTTCCTTTATAAGGGTTGCTTAGCAATAGAAATCCCAAGACAGTGGGGAATACTGAAGACAAGAGTGGGATGAGCAATTTAAAACCCTGACTGAATCAAGCCCATTAGTAAACTGGGAAAGCAGTTGCTTTAAGGTTAAAAAAAATGTGATGTGCCAGGCATTGGTGGCGCACACCTTTAGTCCCAGCACTCAGAAGGCAGAGGTAGGAAGATCTCTGTGAGTTCGAGGCCAGCCTGGTCTACAGAGTGAGTGCCAGAATAGGCTCCAAGAGAAACCATGTCTCAAAACAACAACAACAAAATGTGATGTACAACTAAATCAAGAGGCCTGTGCCCAACACTAGAGAGTAGTGTGTGTGTTGGTTGAGGTTGAAATCTGATTACTGTGCCTGGACCTGGATGAATCTCTTCTGGGAAATGGGCCGATTTGTTTCCTAGGAATTGACTCTGGGAGGCAAGGGTGTTGGCACACTGCAGCCTCAGCATGCTGGGTGAGCACAGAGTTTCCAGAAATAATGAGAACTTCTTCTTAGCATGAAGCAAGCACAGAGAGTATGGTTTTACGGTAGTGGCCTGACTCCAGATGTTCCTCTCAGAGAACAATCCTAACAGCTGTAAGTTTGATCCCTGAGAAACCCTTCAAGTTACTTTTACCCATACCCAGAGTCTTCTGGGAAAACCCAGGAGTGGTACATCAATGAGACACAGCAAACTCAGCTGGCTGCAGTCTCCTCTTGCCCTGTAGCCTCTACCTGCTGGTCTGATTGCTGCAAAGTCCTGACTGCTCACTCTCTTGGAGGCCGCCCTCCTAACTATGAGAGCAGATCTCCTTGCTGCAGGAAGCTAACGCCTCTTTCAGGAGACAGTCATTTCCTGCCTCAGGCTTCTGCTGGCTGAGGAGTGGGGTGCCAGCAGCTTCCGGCCCAGGGTTCTGGCTGGCTTCCTCCTCACCCCGCTCTTCACCCTGGGTACCCCTGGGGACTATACTTTCATTCAGAAAATTCCTTTTCTTATTTCTCACTGAATCCTTACTCTTTTTTTTTTAAAGATGGGGCTAGCAAATTTTGGCTGAGAAGAGTAAGACAGGACATCTTTGAGTTTGTGGCCTTTGTGTCCTTTCTGATAACGACTCAACAGCTTTGCCATGCAGTCAGGCAGCTGTGGACATGGCATGAAGGGATGGGCATGGGTGTACGCCCACAACCTTCTTCTACTGTCATTCGAGTGCGGCAGGCACGTGCCTATGCATGCTTGCACGTGTGGGGCATACATGTGGAGGTTGGTGTTGGGAACAATCTTCAACCATTCTTTGAGGCAAGGTCTCTTGACAAACCTAGACAAAAAAATGACTGTTTTCCCTAGACAGCTTGTCTGAGGGATCTATGCCTCTGAGGGCTGGAATTATAGGTGGGCCATCAATCCCACCCAGAATGCATGTGGGTTCTTGGGGGTCTGAACTGTGTTTCTCGAGCTCGTGCAGCAAGCCCTTTTACCACTGAGCCAGCCCCTCAGCCCCACCCCGCCACCACCATGGCACTCAGGCTCACACTTGGACACAGGTTATGGCTTGCTGACTCCAGCTGGATCGTATTTAGCTAATGAATTATTCACAGCCTCTGGGTTGGGGGATGGATGGACCAGGTTGTAATGGCGCCTTCCTTTGCGGCAGAGCCTCGTCAGCTCTTCCCGTGATGCCAAAGCAGCAACGGGGACATGCGGTCAGGGGCTGGAAAGGAAGTGGGTGCCCCAGATGCTCAGGCCCCGAGGGACCCATTTCTACAACCACACCCACATTAGAAAAATCCTCTCTTACCTGAGAAATGTTTGTTAGGATCAGGTAAGGGCCAGTTTCTCAGACACGGAGATGCTTGCTTTAAATTAAAACTGCAATTATGTACATGGATTGTACACTGTAAATACGGTTGCTAAGGCAACCAAGTCCCAGGCTGAAGCCTCTGAGATGGGTTGGGTGTTTAAGTAAATGTGCTTCAAATCCCACTCAAGAAGGCTCTATTTATAGGAAAGCAAACAGGATGTATTCTGATAGGGGCATTTATGACCTGGTATTCCTCCCCCAGGTGTGAGAGATCTGGGTACAAGAGGTCCCAGCTATGTGCAATTTGTATATGAACCCACATCACCTGGTGTCTTAATCACCGTTCTATCAATGTGAAGAGAAACTGTAACCAAGACTTTCAACTGGGGCCTGGCTCACAGTTTCAGAGGTTTAGTCCGTTATCATGGCGGCAGAGAGCATGGCCGTATGCAGGGGGCTGGAGCCATAACTGAGCAATACAGCCTGATCCATAGGCAGCGAAAAAGAAAACCGGGCCTGGTATTTCTCCCACAAAACTACATCTATTCCAACAAGGCCACACCTCCTCGAACAAGGCCACACCCATCGAACAAGGCCACTCCTCCCAATCCTTCTCAAGTAGTGCTACTTCCTGATGACTAAGAATTCCATTACACAAACCTATGGGGGCCATTCTTACTCAGACCACCACACCTGACATGGCATTTAGTATTTTTAAAAAATGGGTATAATTGCCGTAATCTGAGAGTAGGTTTCTCCATCCCAATTCTGTTTTTATTTTATTTTAATAAAACCCAAACACAGACTTTTGGGGTGGAGCATGTTGTAAGAGTGCAGGGCAGTCTCAGGAATTTCAGCTCCACTTCAGCTATGTCCAGATGGAGATACCACAAGCGGTTTCTTTTGCTTCTGCTGTTACCGTTCTGTTTTGAGACAGGGTCTCGCTGTGAAGCCTGAACTGACCTGGATCTCTCTGTGTGGAGCAGGATGGCTTTGGCCTCAGAAAAACCCACCTGGTTGTTGAGATGACAGGTGTGCATGACCACACATGACCTTGCTTTTTTAAATTTTTTTTCTTTTCAGACAGGATCTTCTCTAACTCAGCCTGGCTTTGAATTCTTTGTGTAGCTAGGGACAACCTTGAACTTCTGACCCTCTTGTCTCTGCCCCCTGAGGGCCGGAAATATATATAGGCAAGCACCCACTCCACTTGGTTTACGTAACACTTGGGAGTGAACCCAGGGCCTCATGCGTTCTACGGAAGCATTCTATTTGCCAAGCTCTACCAACCCCAGTGATGGTCTCTTTCTGTGTCACTCATCTTTACATCGCTATGACAACATGCCAGAGGGAAACAGCGTTGAGACAGCCGATGCCTCTTTTACCACCTGCATTTCCTTCACGTTATGCTTTGAAAAACAGACTCATAAACACACACACACACACACACACACACACACACACACACTCTGCTGGAGAAGTCACAGTGAATCACAGGGCATACCCTGGCCAAGGGGGACTCCCAGGGGGAGCCCACAGCGTATCCCATTTCATTAAACAGCCTTGCAGAATGACATGGGCTTTTGTCCTTTTACAAGGGCTCTTTCAATGGGGCCACTAGGCCAGCTTTTGAGGGAGGCGTTGGGGAATTAATAGCTAATGTGAGAAGACGTTATCTACGTTCACTGGGCTCTACTCGAGCGGGGGAGCTGAGAGATGGTTCTCTGAGGTAGCAACATTCAAACATAAAGGCTGGCCGTGAGAGATGGCCAGGGTGAGAGCCTTCATGGAAGAGGGGTCAGCAGGGCCCGAGGCTGGATGTAGTATTCGGGTGACCCTGGAGAGTGCTGGGGAATCGGGGCACCGTCTTGCAGGGTCCCGGGACTCTAGAGAGGAAAGCCAGGGCAGGGTTATTCAGGGACACAGGTGTGAGGCGCAGGCTAGGTGACAAGCCAAATGGCCAGGCCTGGGAAGATGTCAGCATGGAGGACAGGCAGAGGGAGAGGGAACTGTGTACTGTTTGTGTATTGTTTGAGCTCCTGGTGACAGAGACGGTTCCTGAGTTCTGGTTAAAGTCAGCTCTATTGCCTGGAGTGGCCCTAGCTGGCAGCCCATTGTTCTTCCCTTTGAACAGAACCATGAACACAGCCAACATCTGGAAGACACATGGAGGGATAGTGGAGATCATTAAACTGACTCAATTTTGTTGTTTTTCATAATCAGGCAAAGCAGAGTAAATAAGAACTGCTTCCCTAGAAAGAGTCTCAGGCTCCTGGACAATCCTTCCAATCTAAGAACAATATTTTTCTTTTATTTTAATTTCAACCACAGAGTAACGTGATTGAAAAGAGCGTAACCCTGCCTGCCGCACCTCATCCATCTGTTATGAGTGTCTCTGGAGGGGAAAAGTACCATTACCCACGCCTGCTCATCTTCGTCTTTGTGATTACTTCTTGCCTTTAGAAAGCTCTCTGGCGTGACGACTTAATCTCCAGATTAACGTGTTATCCCACTGAATTCCTGCCGCTGCAGATAAGGGTTACTATCGCCACGGCTCCCTCCGTCCCTTCCCATCTCTGTTCTTTCCCCCTGCGGGTCCCAGGCTAGCTGTGCCAGGGTCAGTGGTCAGCTTAAGACATGTGCTAGCCCATCTCTGATTTAGTGTGTCTGGGTGGGTCTACCAACTTTCTTTCCCTTTATCGGTGTTAATTTACGTGTGTGCAGGCACACTCCACAGGGGACAAGCTGGACCCGGCACTACGCGACTTTAACTTACAGAGAATCATCGGCTATGCAGGCCCCTTTCTTCCCTGTACTCACCTGCACTCCAGATCCCAGTCTAATGTGCATTATATTTAAACCGTAGCATTATTGGGCATGTTGCTTTTTAAGATTTTTTTTTATTATTTATGTGTGTGTATGGCGCGGAATGGATCGCCAACTGTCATAGGCTATGAAGGTTTGAAGACACTCTCCAGGGCTTGGATGCTGTAGGAATGAGGGTTAGGTTCAGGGAAAGTGTGCTCAGAGACAGCAACATGCTGACCAGAGTTAGCAACTATCTCCCTGGTCAGCATGGAGGCTCGACAACACAAAGGGCTCTGAGATGAGTCCTAACGCACCAAGTGCCGACCTCTACAATACAAGCGAGAGCCAGGATGGCAAGATTTCCCCTTGGAGAGGAGAGCAATGCTAGGACTGGGATTTATTACGAGGGGTTATGGAATTTACCATGAACGCCTGTTTGCCCCTTGAATGCCTGGTCCCTGTGGAGGCTGAAAAGGGTATCAGATGATCTGGACCAGGAGCTACAGGCGGCTGTGAGTCACTGTGGGGTGCTGGGAATCAAACCCAGGTCCTCCACAAGAGCAGACAGTGCTCTTCAGAGCTGAGCCATCTCTCCAGCTCCCCAGAGTGTCTGATTTTTTTTTAAAGAGATGTATTTATTTATTAAGCAAGTAGTGCTCTGTCTGCATGTATCCCTGCAGGCCAGAAGAGGGTGCCAGATCTCACTATGGATGATTATGAGCCACCATGTGGTTGCTGGGGATTGAACTCAGGACCTTTAAAAGAACAGCCAGTGCTCTTAACCCCTGAATCATCTCTCCAGTCCCTGAGTCTTAGTACAGAAACCATTTTACCGCCTTCTCTTCTTTCTCCCTGGTTTCTTTGCACATCACCTTCAGGCTGTCCCCTGTACTACGCCCCACTAAGACATCTTGTATCCCTCCTAACTCATTTCCCTTGTGCCTGTTCTGAGTGACCAGCAAGGCTTGCAGGCCTTCTTCCCTCTTGTACTTGAGGAGGGAGGCTCATGTATAAAAAAAAGGAAGCCTTGTCCAGTGTGTGTGTGTGTGTGTGTGTGTGTATGTGTGTGTGTGTGTGTCTGTGTCTGTGTGGTGTGTGTGTCTGTGTGTGTATAGAGTATGTGTAAAGTGTATCTATATATAGTGTTTGTCTGTGTGTGTGTAGACTGTGTGTAACGTATGTTTGTATGTGTGTGTGTCTATGTGTGTCTGTGTGTAGAGTGTATATCGTGTGTCTCTGCATGTGTCTGTGTGTGAGTGTCTGTCTATGTGTGGAGTATGTTAGTTGAGTGCTGAGCATACATGTATATGCTCTCCTGCTCCTCTCTCTCCCCCTCTCTCCCTCTCTGTCTCTCTGTCTGTCTCTCTCTTTCTGTCTCTCCCTCTCTCTGCTGTTCATGGTGGCTGTCATGTGACTAGCCGCTCGCAGTTCCCTCCCTGACTTCTCCCCAGTGATGGCTGTAACCTAGAATCCAGGGCTACAATCAACCCTTGCTCCTCTAGTTGCTTTCTGCCAGGGCGTTTATCACAGAGACAGAAACAAGGCTAGAGCAGGTCTAACCTGATTCTTCTGGGCGATCTTTTGCCCCTTCTTCCAGCGTAGCACGGGGGTCAGATCGGGCAGCTCCCGCTCCTCCTCAGCAGTCTGGTGCACACCCAGGCTGTAGGCAGCTTCAAACACGATGGGGCTGATGACATCCTGGACCCTCCGCTGCAACAAAAGCAAGAGGGAGCATTAAGAGGGAGCGTCTGTGGATGCGGGGACGCCATTCCCAAAGACCAGCCTGCCAGCCACACCGCTCTCCTTGGGTGGTCCTCACCACCTCCTCACAAGCTAAGGTGTCACTGTTTCTGTCTTGTAAGCAAGGTAAGCAAGGCCCAGGGAAAACTTGTCCCGGTCTCTGCAGACAGGCAGGGATTTTCTCAGGCTACCCCATGTGGTGCTAAATCATCTCCAGAGCATATGGAAGACATTATCTAACTCGTCACCCACGTGTGTTTAGATGCCAGTTGGTGGCTGGGATAGCATCTGTACTCAACATTAACCCTTTATTTCCACGGGGTGTGGATGAGATTACAGTTTTGTGTCGTGGCCGAGGACCCAACAACACTAATGTGAATGGGGTCTGCTGTAGATTAGCCATCAGTGGAGTCAGGAGCAAGCTTCCTGCTCATTCTTCTAGAACCCAAGGATTTCAAGGCCCAGGGGATGGTAGGCTGCTAGCCATAAGAGCGGCAGGGAAGCTGCACCAGGTACGTTTTCTGTTGTGGTGATAAAACACTACGACCCAGGAAACATGGAGAAGGGAGAGTCCATTGGGTCTAAGGTTCCAGAGGGTAAGAGCCATTCATGGTGGGGAACCTCGAGGCAAACAGCAGAGCAGGAAGCTGAAAGTCAGACCTTCAGCCAAAAGCAGGAAGAAGCATGGTGGTCGGGGGAGGGAGAGGACCACAAGCGGTGGAAACCTGTAAATCTCAAAGCCCACTTCCTGTGACACACTTCCGCCAGCAAGGCTGTACCTTCTAAACATTCCTAAACAGCCTCACCGACAGGAGACCCCAGTGTTCAAACACTGGAGCCTATGGGGACACTTCTCATTCCAGTCACCACAGGAAGAGAAGAAGACCCGTGGTCTAATGAGATGCCAGGTCGATGCTGTGACTTCTAGAGATGAGCAACACACTCCATACCCCACCACCCCGCAGGAAAGGAACCAGGAAGGTGCAAGGCTCAGCCCCACAGGACACAGGCCTGGTTAGGACCCTCATCTTTCCAACTTTTAAGCTCATGGTCTTTCCCCAGTGGCACTGCCTCTGGGTGACTCCAGGCCCAGAGTGATAGCTAGAGGCAAGAGTTGGTCCATAGTCTTGCATCAAGGGCCAGCACATCATCCGGGGTGGTCTACCTTAACATGGCAAGGCTAAGAAAGTCATCACTCACAGCCAAGTCTCTCTGCTCTGTAACCATCACGGAGAGCATGCGTGTGTGTCACAGGGAACTGAGAAACACCTTATACAGAACAAGAGAAGCCGGGCAGGCAGCAGATGCCACCCACCCTAAGATGTCTGAACATATCACCCATGAATTCCCACTATTCCCACTATTCTCTACGAAGTGTGGAGGGTTAGGATCAGAGTCTCACTGTGTTCAAAATGGTAGGACATTCCAAACGTCTCAGGAAGCACCCAGGAAAGAGTTTTCTCCAACACTTTTCGACAGCCAGTCTCCTCTCCCTGGGGACAGCTGGGGATGGACTGTCACCCCGTATGAGAGAACACAGGCCAAGCATCTTGGCTCTCAAATGTCAGCGTCCCTTGTAGGATGCCCAGCCTGTGACTATGAGGATGACAAATGACCCCCATTTGGATGATGCTTCAGAAGTGAAGGGAGGTGGTTAGCCTGCAGACTGTGGCAGGGTTCTCAGGACAGGTCTTGGCTCTCGGGTGGAATTTGGGTTCCCGGGGGTGGGGCAGTCTGGCTAGGGAGTGGTGGGCGGGGGGGGGTGCACTAAAATAAAACACGAATGTTCTGTTTGTCAGTTCAGTTTTCACTTCTGAGAAGCGGAGAGTAGTTCCAGGTGGGCCATGGCACCCCATGTTTCCTCACATGATAGGGTGTCGAGTGGAACACACTCAAAGGTGCTCGATGCCAGGGACTTCCTGGAACAGTTCTGGGGAGGGGTCAGCGGTGCTGAGTGGCAGAGGGGAGGCAGGGTGTGGAGGGTACAGCAGAGGGACACAGGTGGCGTCAGGGCAGATGCCCGGACAAGAAGCAGATGATGCACGTTTGGCTCCGTAAAGAATCCACCTGGGAGAAGGTTCAATTCTTCAGCCTAGCAAAAACCCAGGACGTTCGCAGCGAAGCGATGGAGGGCTTCCAGAATGTTCTCTGGAACTCTCCATCTTAGAACAGATCTTTAAGACACGCACCTAAGATCCAGACACCCCCCCTCCCGCCTGACTCCAACCAGAATTCCAAGATGGTAGATGGTACAGACAAAGGCAGATGAGAAAACGCCAAATTCACACATTTGCAAATGTGTTCTTTGTGCTTCTCTGAGGTTAGTTAACTACTTCTAGACTTTACACTTAAATGATTCGTGCTAAAGTAAGTCCACAATGACACTCTTACTCTGGGCATGGGGGAAGATGAGAGTGGGGGAGGGGCAGCGCTCACTTCGGGCTTCCGAACTGCCTGCCATGTGTATTTCAGGGTCTTCCTCAAGCTCTGAGTTGACCTCACTCTACTTGATCCTCACAACATCTAGTGGGTAGATTTCTGCTTGCCCTTTACAGGGAGGGCAACTGAGACCCAGGAGCTCAAACAAACTGTCCCTCCAACCCAAAGCTCGTCATGTGGTAGAACCAGGCTTCTTGGAACCAAAAGCAAAAGGAGTTTCCCTGCTGTCCGTTAGACGCTTTGGTGGTTGTTGTTTTGAGGGTCTCACTATGTAGCTGGTTCCGGCTGGCTTTACGTTTGTTATGTAACACAGTCTGGCCTCAATCTCGCAATGCTCCTGCCTCAGTTGCCTAGCTCATGAAGTCCTATTTAGGTTCACATTAGGTTCCAGCAACTCCTTAAAAGAAAATGCTTGCTCAGGGGTTTAGGAGATGACTTGATGGAGAAACAGCTCTTCTTGCAAGCCTGAGGACCTGAGTTTGGGTCTCCAGAACCCACGTAGAAAAGATTGGCATGTTGGTGTGCCCTTGCAGCCCTAGTGCAGGGGAGGTGCAGACAGAAAGACTCTGGGGACTTGGTGGCAACACAGCCTAGGCAAAATAGCAAGCTCCCAGTTCAGGGAGAGGCCCTGTCTCAAAAGGAAGGTAGGGATGAAACAGGAAGACACCCCCCTCCAAACTCTGGCTTCCATGGGTGAGCGCTCCCCCAACACATGAGCACAAACACAGCCCACAACGCCCCCACAAAAGATGAATGAATAATTGGTAGCTAGGAAATAGGGACAAGGAGTGAGGGTGTTTCTAAGTGTGTGACCACACCCAGTGACTGCCAAGGAGAAAGACCTTAGCAGTGTGTGTCTGAGTTTGGATCATGAATACAGGCAACATCTAGGTGGGCGAATGCTATTCCCTGGCAGCAACTACATGAGCCTACCTTAACTAAAGAGTTTGAAAAGCAGCTTTTTTGTCTCACACAGCAGTAGTTTGGAGCAGCAGGGAACTCAAACCACACAGTGGTGGGTGGTGGGGGCAGAGGAGGGTGCAGGGATTAGAAACAGGCTCTGCCCCAAGCCTAGCCCCTCCTTGTGCTGGGCTGGCCTGCTCCAGCCACTCCTGACCCTGGGCTGGTCTGCTCCCAGCTGCCTAGGGAAAGTAGCAGACCATCTGGGGGTTTCCCGTCACTTTTGGAAACTCTGCTCCCTTCTGTTCAGCACCACATTAAGTAAGGAACTGGCCAGAGAGAAGTCTGTGGCTCCGGCACTTCACCACTGTGGCTCAAATTTTACTGCTTAAAAAGTTACTGCCACAAGTGGAATTTTATGATTTCTTTCCCTTTCCCTTTTCTTTTGAGGCAAGCTGGTATATATCCCAGCCTAGCTTCCAATATAGTCAGAGATAACCTCGAACTCCAGACCATTTTGCCTCTACCTCCATCCAGAGTGCTGGGATTACAGGTGTTTACACCACACTAGGCTACAGACAGAGACCTCTTAAACTGAACACATATTTAGCCTCATCTGTACAGAGGCCAGAACGTACTTTTTCCAGCTAAAGACATCAGGAGTCTGCTACTTTGAAAATGGGAGGCACCCTCATGGAGGACACCCAGGCTGGTGGCAGAGCCGGCCATGGCTCCATGGCTGCCGTTTTTATGGGGAATGTAACACATGCTCTGTTTGAAGTTTATTGGGTGCATACTTTATGCCAGGCAGTGTGCTGGGTGGCAGGGAGACAGACTTAAAAGACACGGAGGGAATTAAGTTTCAGAGGGGAAAACCGAGCTGTGACAATGTCACAACGTGCACCAGGGCCGAAGTGGCCATGAGGACACAAAGGAAGTTCACACCTGACTCTTAAAGGCCTGGCAGGCTTCCCAGAAGAGGGGCTCCTGGGCTGAGCGGCAGAACGGAAGGACATGTGCGCAGGTGTAAGGCGCAGCTGGTACAGCGTGCCCGGAAAGCTTGGAGGTGTTAATGGACCACACGCATAGACTCGGAAAACCATGCTGATGGGCAGGGAGGCTCATGCAGAAGCCACATCTCAGGCGTCCACCCTGATGGCTGAGTGACCCCCTCGCTGAAAGTTAGGAAGCGTGGGGACCGAGTTAACAAGGTGCGGTGCTCTGGAAAGCCCCTTCCAGCTGCAGCACGATGGCATTGGTGGCAGTAGGGCTGGGGAGGTGTCGGCCAACGGGCTTAGACATAAAGATCACTACCATGGGAGGCCTCAGCAGTGGTCAGAGACACAGGAACCCCTTTCCTGGCCTGTGTGCGAGGAGCCAGCCGAGGGTGACTTGATTCCAGTTCTCACTCCAGGGCCCAAAGCAAGCTGGGTTTGGTGGCCATGGCACGCGCTGGCTAGCCATGTGACTTGGAACTCTACCTGAGAGCGGCTTTTCCCCCACTATCGGGGTGGGGGCTGAATACAGAAACTCTGTTTTTTTTTTTTCCTTCCTTAGCTCATAGTGGCAATGAATTAAATAAAAACAGGAAGGGTTGGGCTCACTTTAAATCTGCAAATAACACAGAAGTT